TTTGGTTCTCTGTGCCATATTCTCTGTAGCACAAGGCATAGTAGCTTGTACATAACTGTCACATATTCAATGTGTTACTGTATATCAATACATTTGAATTTTAGAAACATTAATTATTTCATAAAATTTCACTTCTTATGCCTGTGCTCCCAAAAGGAAATTCTGAGTTTAAGAATCATTATAAATTGACCCAAAAAGCAGCACTGGTAACAAATTCCATCAGGGCCTCCTAACAGAGTTTATAACAAGACAAACCTGTAGCCACTAAGGTCTTTCTTGATCAACCAAGTCACATCCATAATGCTAGTACTTTGGGAGGCCAAGGCTGGCAAATTGCTTGAGCCCAGGAGTAAGAGACCAGCCTAGGGAACATGACAAAATCCCATCTTTACAAAAAGTATAAAAATAAGCCAGGCATGGTGGTGTGTGCTTGTAGTCCCAGCTACTCAGGAGGCTGAGGCAGGAGGATTAAGTAAGCTCAAGAGGTGAAGGCTGCAGTGAGCTGTGATCGTGCCACTGCACTTCAGCCTGGGTGACAGAACAAGACACTGTCTCAAAAAATAAAAATAAAAATGATATGAGTCAAGATAAGGTTTGTAGTTTATCTCAAAGACCTTGAAGATTTCTGGCTGGGCACGGTGGCTTACACCTGTAATCCCAGCTACTCGGGAAGCTGAAGCAGAAGAATTACTTGAACCCAGGAGGCAGAGGTTGCAATGAGCCGAGATCGTGCCACTGCACTCCAGTCTGGGTGACAGAGCGAGACACTGTTTCCAAAAACAAACAAACAAACCCCATAAACAAACAAAAAAACCACTTTGAAGATTTCCAAATATCATGTCCACTATTTCATTATCCTCTGGATAGCTCCAGACAGAATATTTCTCCCTCTTGAAGTAGGGAAAAATAAAGTGATTTGCACAGCATCAATAAGAAACAGGTTCCTCACCTCTTGAATTCACTGTTCTGATTGAACTTGACCAAATAAGCCACACACACAAAAAGACTGATATAACAGAGAAAGAAAAATTGAATACTTCCATGTAACTAGAAGACATGATTTTAAAACACAAGAAACAGATTGGGAGAAAATTTTAGCAACATGCATAGTAGTGGCTTACTATCTCTAGTAATAAAAAGTGCTATTCCAAATCATAAGAAATAGGACAAACAACTCAACAGAAAAATGGGTAAAGGAAATAGGTTAAGTCACAGAAGAAGAAAATATGTGACAGGATACTCAATATACTAAGCTTTGGCAAAATACATATCAAAACAAAGACATTCCCCCATCCCATCTTTTAGAGATGCAATATACAGTAAAGGTTAAAAATATAGGCTCTAAAGTCAATCTTCTTGGGTTTGAACCTCACTTCTTTCCAAGCTGTATAACCTCAGGAAATTTATGAATTTCTCCGTGTCTCAGTTTTCTCATCTTCAAAATAGGGGTAATGACAATGACTATCTCCTTGGGTGGTTGTGATAATTAAACGAGTTAGTTTACATCAAGTACTTAGAATAGAATATTATGTGTCACATAATAAATACAACATAAGTGTTTATTATTAATATTCTTTCAACATATTGATAACATGGAAAAGGTTGTCTGAATGACAAAAGTAATCTTAATCTGTTGGTGAGAAAGGTCGTTTTTTTTAAGGAAAATTTGATAACATACATACTATATACCAAGCAGTTCTACTTCTGAAATCCAACCCAGTCACCAGTACAAAAGGGTACATGTTCAAAAATGTTTATGACATCTCTATTTTGTAACAAAAAAAAGAAGCAATGTAAATGTCCATCAGTACAGAAGTGAGGTACATTATGTTAAAAACACTGTAGCATGAGAAGATTCAGATGTTAAAAAGAATGGTGTGAACTGACATTTACTGACAGAGTACAAAATATTTATACTAAAAAGTAAGTCACAAAGTAATACATAATATAATCCTATTTATACTGAAACATGGAAAACATATACTTGAGTTCCCTTTATGTATAGGTTTTTAAAGAGGTTTGAAAATATACAAATTGTTAATAAGGTTATTTATGTAGGGAGATAGGGAAGATAAAGAGGGTATTTAGTTCTTTTTCTCTCTACTTATATACTGAAACCTTTTTCCCCTCCAAAACAGCAAAGACAAATGAGTATTTTACTTTATAATTTCAAAACTGGAAAAAAAAAAAA